GTCTTCGTGCGTAAGATTTTCTCTTTCCTACCCAAAATCTAAACCGACTACTGTATATAAGTCAAATCCTTAGTTAACTCCATCGATTCTAAAGTTAACACGTGTGATGGGTCAGACATGTATTTTCGTAGCATAGACACATGGAATACATCATGCAACCTGGACAACTTTACTGGTAACTTCAATCGGTATGCAACAGCTCTAATCCATTCCACAATGCTATACGGACCGATATATCTGGGAGTCAACTTTCCTTTTTTGCCAAAACGAATGACGCATTTCCAAGGTGATACCCGTAAAAACACTCGATCACCCACCATGAATTCCAAGTCACGTCGGCGATTGTTAGCATAACTTTTCTGCCTGCTTTGTGCACTCGGTAATCTATCCTATATAATTTTAATTTGATCAGCAGTCATTTGCACAATCTCTGGACCCAATAACTTCCTCTCACCCACTTCACTTTAGCACACTGGGGTCCTACACTTCCTCTTATACAATACTTTATATGGTGTCATCTCAATTGAACTTTGATAACTGTTATTATATGCAAATACAAGCAAAGGTAAATAATTATCCTAGTTATCTCGAAGGTCTATGACACAAGTTCTCAGCATGTCCTCCAATGTCTGGATAGTACGCTCTGACTGTTCATCTGTTTGTGATTGGAATGTTGTACTAAACTTCAAAGTAGTGCCCAACGCAGTTTGTAAACTAGGCTAAAACCTCGAAGTAAAGTGTAGATCCCTATTAGAGACAATAGATACAGGTACACCATGCAATCTCACAATCTCATCAATGTACAATCTAGCTAGTTTGTCAAGAGCATAAGACATTTTAATAGCTAGAAAATGACTAGATTTCGTTAACCTATGAACTATCACCCAAATCGCCTCATGTCCTTTCTATGTATAGGGGCAAATTACTCACAAAATTCATAGTAATATGCTCTCATTTTCACTCTGAAATCGGTAAAGACTGTAATAACCCGGCTGGTCTTTGATGCTTAACCTTTACTTGCTGACATACCAAATATTGAGCCACAAACTCAGCTACTTCTTGTTTCATTCCAAACCACCAATAATGCCCTCACAGGTCACGATACAACTTTGTACTACCTGGATGCATAACATATGTTGAACTGTGTGCTTCCTCCAGAATCTCTCTTTTTAACCCTGCATCATTTGGTACACATAACAGAGACCTAAATAACAAAACATCAGCACTGTTAATAATAAAATCAGTCTTTATCTCTTTATTCAATTTCTCAATTTGAAGATCAAACTGTTGTGTCTCTCTAATCCTGTCCACCAACATTGGTCTTAAAGTCAGTGTAGCAAGTAAAGCTATTGCCTCTCATATCCTAACTGCACTCTCAACGATTTCAAATCCACAAATAATCCTCTCCGAATTACTCGCAAACTAGCCAATCTATATGATAATTTTTGACTCAGAGCATCTGTCAGAACATTTGTTTTACTCGACTGGTAATGAATAGTGCAGTCATAATCTTTAATAAGCTCAATCCAACGCCTCTGTCTCAGGTTTAACTCTTTCTGGGTAAACAGATATTGCAAACTCTGGTGGTCTGTATAAGCTCACACGTAACCGTATATAGAAAATCTCTCCATAACCTCAGTGCAAACACAATAGCTGCAAACTTTAAATCATGGGTGAGATAATTACACTCATGAGATTTCAGCGGTCTAGAGGCATAAGCAACCAGTCTACCATGCTGCATCAACACACAACCCAACCCTTGATTGAGGCATCACTATAAACTACGAAATCATCACTACTTGACAGAATGGTCAATACTGGTGCAGTCGTCAATCTGGTCTTTAGCTCCTAGAAATTCTACTAACATCTATTAGACCATTCAAACTTCACACCTTTCCGAGTTAGTTGGGTCAAAGGCATAGCTAGAATGGAGAAATTTTGTACAAACCTCCGATAGTAACCTGCCAATCCCAAAAAAAATTTGAATTTCTGTCAATCCCAGTTAACTACAGTATCAACCTTAGCTAGATCAACACATACACCGTCACCAGAAACTATATGCCCCAAAAATACAACCCTGTCCAACTAAAATTCACATTTACTGAATTTGGCAAATAATTGCCTATCCCTTAATGTTTGTAGGACCTCCCTTAAATGTTGCATATGCTCTTTTTCACTACGAGAGTATATAAATATATCATCAATGAACACTATCACAAATGAATCAAGATTCAACTGTCTATAATCAATACATAACCTTATAGTGTCATCCTTCTTTTTTACAAATAATACTGGTGCACCCCAACGAGATACACTTGGCCGTATGAATCCCTGATCTAACAAATCCTGCAACTGAACTTTAAGTTCCTTCAATTCAACTGGAGCCATCCTGTATGGAGTAATAGATATGCGACTAGTTCCTGACACAAGCTCAATGGTAAATTACACCTCCCGTTCCACTGGTAACCTTGGTAACTCTTTAGGAAACAAATTAGCAAATTCACAAACCACGAGAATATTCTTCAATTCAAAAGTACCTCTCTGAGTATCCTTCACATAGGCCAAGTACCCATGACATCCTTTCTTGAGTAATTTCTTGGCTTAATTGCTGATATCAAATTCCTCGGCTCAGGGCGTCGCTCTCCAAAGAATCGAAACAAAGGAACATGTGGAATTCTAAATACCACTTCTTTACGAAAACAATCAATAGTAGCATGATATGCAGAGAACCAATCCATTCCTAAAATTACATCAAAATCCTGGAAGTCAAGAGGTAACAGATCTGCAGGTAATTCTCTATTACCCACTTGAACTAGACACTCCCTATATACTAACCTGGTCGTCACACTGTCACCCGTTGGAGTAGCTATAGTCAAGCCACAATCTAATGAAGTAGGTCGTTTATTAACATGCATGGAGAATGACAGTGATATAAATGACCTTGTGACACCTGAATCTATAAGTACTCATGTCTGCTGACCAAAAATAGACATCATATCTGTCACCACATTTGGGGTCGCTTGAGCATCTCGTTGGATTAGTACAAAAACACGTCCTCCAGCCTCAGGTCCGCTCGGTCTACTGCCACCAGCGCCGCTACCTCCAGTACTCCCTCCTCGTCCTCGACCCCTACCACTTGCTGCTTCTCGAGACACCATAGGTACACTGCCTATCGATGAACTCTGGGTCAAATATTGTGGACAATCTCTCTGCATGTGTCTTTTCTGACCACATAAAAAGCAACGCCATGACATAGAAGATCTTGGTCCTCCTACAGGACAGTTTCTGTACAATGTGCCCAACTTGCCTGCCACGGTAACAGGTAACTGTACTCCCCCGAGACTGTCCCATCTCTCGACCCGGTGCAAAGAAAAATGATCACTCATTCCTTATCCTCGACTTTGGAATGAGACTCCTGACTTCTTTTTACTTGCACCCATCGAAAACATTCCTCTCCACGCTTTGCTAAGGAAACTTTCATTGGAACCTTGTCCACTTGGCTCATATCTTTCCCTTTTTGTCTGTTCACTTGCACTTTCCATCTCCTTCAAATCAAGGCTTTGCTGTATAATTCTGAAAAAGGTGGTTAACTCTAACATTGAAATATGAGATATAATATTGTAATTTAGCCCCATCTGGAATCTTCTGCATCTTTCCCCCTCATCTGCGATAACAGAAGACATAAAATAAATATAATTGTAATTTAACCCACAAAATTATGTTAATATGCATGTAATGCATGATTGGGTCTCATAATCGCCACTGCCACCACCACCACCACTATCGTCATCGCCCTCATCGCCACCACGGTCATTGTCACCCACCACAACCGTCACCGTCTTCTACTACCACCACTGTTGTCCACCACCTCTCACCCCGCTGCGAATCGATGCTTAATTTTTTTTTTTTTTTTTTATGTTTGTAATTTGATTTTGAATATAAATACAAATATATTTATTATTCATTATTTTTTATTATTTTGTGCCTTTAGGTACAAATAATAACTAATATATTTGTAAAATAGGACTTAAGTATCTAAATAAAAATTCTATTCTTTTAAAGATTAATTTTTTTAATAAGGAAGAGAAAATAAATGGAAAGAGAGAGACTGAGAGAGAGATTCTCTGGGCAACACAGCTGTGAGGTGTTAGCTTGATCCAGCTGGAGCTGGGCGGTCCCAAACCAGGTCACGTCACGAGTATTTTGTGTGCTGGTTGAGTAAGCGCGTTGGTTCCACGCCCCCTACCTCGGATACCCATACACACATTTCAATAACAGTATCCAGCTGGAATGTTGCCTTCACTGTTTTCAATAAAAACAACAGCATGTCATCCTACACGCTCTCTATCTCTCTCCAGCCTGTAAACCTTCCCTCTTCCACCTCAACGTCTCCCTGTCTACATTATGTTATCCTCTTTTTCCCTAAATGCCCTTAACAGATTGATTTCTATCAAAGTAAAATAATTTTTAACATCACCCGTTAATACAGTATATAACTTAGATATAAAAATTACAGTATAGGATTATTTAGTTATTGGTACGAACTTGGCAAGGAGACAAATAACAGTTTGTTTAGTTGAAGGATAAAAAAATCTTGATCATAGTTATTAATTCAAGAATTATGTAAGTTAACGAAAAATAAAATAGTAAATAAGTCAAATTAATATTTAGATATTTAACACAAAATAAAATTATTAATATTAGATATGGACCCAAAATAATACAACTTATAATAAAAACCATACATGCGTGCCTATGGAAGGATAGTTTAGTCAATCAACAAGCCATTTCAAAGTCCAATGCCCAAACTGCTGGAACTAAGCTGTAATGCTTTTGTTCGGTAGCCCAAAAGGAAAAGAAAAGAGACACTTACTTCCACACAAACAGGTCCTCCATTAATGGACCTTGCTACAATTTTTCAAAACGCGTTTGAGAGAGTACCGTTGCATCTCTTTTTCTCTCTCTTACTTGCTAAGTAATGGCCAACCATTACTCCAATCTCTTTCTTAGCAGGTTCGCATCAAATTTCGATCTATATAAATAGTCACCTCCACACAACCATTTCACTCACCAACAGAAATCCAGCTCAGTTCTCTTCATTATTTTCTCTTTCCGAAGAAAATATTCTGCTTCTGGTTCAAAAATGACTTCTTTTTCTTCCACCCAATTCATTCTACAACTCTTCTTTGTAGTCTCTCTCTTCCATTTGTCCTTTGCTTCAAGAAAGCTCCATGAGTTGGTCCAAGATCAACAAACACAATTGAAATACCACAATGGTGCTCTTCTCTACGGTAAAATCTCCGTCAACGTTATCTGGTACGGCAAGTTCAAGCCTTCCCAAAGGGCCATCGTCGCCAATTTCATCACCTCACTGTCATCCTCCTCATCTCAAAGCCAACCCTCCGTCGCCACGTGGTGGAAGACCACCGAGAAATATTACCACCTAGCTACCAAGGAACCCTCTTCACTGTCTCTTTATCTGGGTAAGCAAATACTCGATGAAAGCTACTCTCTTGGAAAATCGCTCACACAGAAACAATTGGTACAATTGGCTTCAAAGGGTGAACAAAGAAACGCCATTAACGTTGTATTGACGGCCTCTGATGTCACTGTTGATGGGTTCTGTGTGAATAGATGTGGAACCCATGGGTCTTCCAAGGGTGCCACCCGTGTTAAGGGTAAGAACTACAGGTTTGCCTACATCTGGGTTGGTGATTCGGAGACTCAATGCCCTGGTTATTGTGCATGGCCATTCCACCAACCCATCTACGGACCACAGAGTCCACCTCTGGTTGCACCCAACAACGATTTGGGTTCGGACGCAATTGTAATGAACTTGGCTAGCCTTTTGGCTGGGACCGCTACGAACCCATTTGGAAATGGCTACTATCAGGGACCAGCTGATGCACCACTAGAGGCAGCCACCGCGTGTCCTGGAGTCTATGCTAAAGGAGCCTATCCAGGCTATGCTGGCGATTTGTTGGTGGATCCTACATCTGGTGCTAGTTATAATGCACATGGTGCTAATGGCAGGAAGTACTTACTTCCAGCTATATACGATCCTTCCACTTCTACATGTTCCACATTGGTTTGAAAAATTAGGGGGACTTCCTAGGATATAGACAATGAAGCCATATACAAAGGTTCTGTAATTCATTGATTAGTTCATTCTTTTGCCACTAAATAATAATAGAAACAGCAAATTCCTTGGGTTTGCTTTATTTCATTGACGTCTCTGTTTCGGTATTTTTTAGCATTTGATCATTTAAAAGTTTCAGTTTTTTCTTCTACTTTCTTTTGCTAATCAAGAGACATTCGGGTTCCTGAAAATTGATTGAGATGTATTATGTGTCTCAGAAATAAGAATGGTTCTTATTCTGTAGGCTTTATTGATATCAAAGTACTGGCTAACCTCCATCTTCGTTGGGCAGCAGGAAATAGAAAGAAGGAATGAGATCCAAGAACAACCACCCTTTGACATTGGCACATGAGGTGGCTTGGGTTGGCTAGATAACATGGTGAAAATGTGTCATCTTAGAATAACGGTTAGACCCAATCCATGGACTTGAGGTGTAGTCTTCCCAATGGACTTGAGGAGTAGTCTTCCAATGGAGCGAATTTTAATTCGAATTTGATTTATATTTAATAGAATATGAATTAATATTTTATTTTGATTAATTAAATTTTGAATTTGATTAAGTTTGTTTAAACCGATTTAGATTTAGATTATGAAATTTGATCTGATTTATACACACATATATAAGATTTGTCAACATCAAATTTCCCATACAAATCGAAAAGGTGCCTATCAAAAAGATGTAGATAGAGGTGCTTATAAAAAAGATACATCGAAGAATTTGGGATCGAGATGTAGATAGAGGTGCTTATAAAAAAGATACATCGAAGAATTTGGGATCGAGGTATCATTAACCGAAGAAGACCAGGCCAATTCACGTGACTTGCTTGATGAACATTTGTGAGATGTATGCATATATTTCATTGAGAAAAATTATTATATATATACATACATACTTAGAATATTATTGAGATTGACATGAAATTAAATAAAAATTATTAAATAGAATAATTAGTTGATTGAATTAAGTTGAAAATTAACTTAAATTTGGTAAAATTATTAGTTTTTTATGAAATTTTATTAAAATTTAAATTTTCAGATCAGATCAGATATTTGATTATTAACGAATGTGGATACAAATTAAGATTTTAAAATTTATCGAGTAAACGAATCGAATCGGATTTTAAACTCAATTTCTTTATTAAATCTAAATAGATCAGGATTCAAATCAGATCAGATCCAATTCTTCGACGCCTTACTGAGAGGTGGTGAGCAATGGGGAACTTGAATCAATCACATCAAATGATTTATTTGATCAAATGTTACAGACTTGCGAACTTTCCTTTATTTGAAATTCACAAACAATATTCTAACTTCCCAGCGGAAGAAATGGAACATAAGAAGGTGCTTTTTACGTTCGTCATAGTTAAATGGTCATCCAGGGAATGGTCCAAAAGTTAGGAGGGCAAGTGCCCCGCCTTTACTCTTAGAGGCTTAATTGATATAAAAATATTAAGAGGCCTAATGAACACAAATGTCATAGTTAAAGGGTCATATGTATATTCATTTGTGTCACATGAATGACACACTTTGTCACTTTTTAATAAGAAATTTAATGGAAACAGACAGAAACGCTCAATTGACACAATTAGAAAGTTCAGATACTCAATTGACTAAAAAAAAATTTAATTATTGATTTAATTTAAATAAAAGTCATAGTTTAAAGACTGATTCACTCTTAAGTTTAAGAAGTCGCTCAACTTAGCTCGCTCAAACTCATAAGAATGCAATCAAAACAAATTAAGGAGAACCTATCTCCATCTGACTTATAGTCTACATGCTTGAATAGCTAATATATATATATATATATATATATATATATATATATATATATATATATATATATATATATATATATATATATATATATATATATATTTCCATGAGATATGCCTAAGGATATACCATCCAAACCCTCCAACTCAAAGAAATCTAATACACCTCAATCTTTTTTTTTTTTGGTTACACTAATACACCTCAATCTCAAACTCTTTCTTTCGACCTAATATCCTTCCAAAATTGTCACTAACTGGAGCATTAGAGTTATTTTTGCCGACCAATGCTAGGGTCCTCTGTGACTTCTTGCAAGTGCCCGACAAGCCATTTTTGTTTCTTGTTAATAACAGCACGCTTTTTTTTTTTTTTTTTGTTGTGGCATTTACTATTTAGTTATAGCATCTTTAAGTGTTGTGGCGTGTTTGGAAGGAAAGATGAAAAGTAGATATGATACATTTTCTATAATTTAAAGAAATAATTTTTTGTGTGTAGTAGGAAGGATGAAAAGTAGGTATGATTGATTTTTTTATGTTTACTAAAATACAAAAAATTAAAGGATGAAAAAGGTATAGATATATATTTTATCATTATAGCTATATATGATTTTAATGTATACACATAAAATATAATGTTTTATATATCCTTTTTATTCTTTCAATTTTTTATCATTCAATTTTTTTATCGTACTAAACAAAACATTCCTTAAATTCTTTCTTAAATTTATATTTGAGTAAAAATATATTAAAAATAAGTTTCAATTATTTGCTCAAACTCATACCAAATAAAATATAGTCGGACTTAAATTTTTACTCAAATTGAGGGTCACTCAAATCTTCAATAGGCAAATTTCATAAAATCAATGGATATTCAATTATCATATTTTACTTTAATTTAAATTTAATTTTGTCCTTAATTAAAATTAATTTTCTCCATTAACATATTTTGTATCAAATCAAATTTTGTATTTAAATGGTGGTTCAAATTTGAGTCAAAACTATTGATGATCTTTTACAAATACTAGGGGTCGTTTGGTAACGTTTTTGTTTTTGCGTCTTCAAAAAACCAAAAACAAAGACAAAAAAATGTCTCTGTTTTGTGGTAAACTCTGAAACAAAAAACATGTTTGGTAACTAACTCAAGTTTTATCATAAATATGTTTGATAATATCTAATTTTTTGTTTTCAAACAAATTAACACTTTATTTCTTGAAAAGTGATTTACAACCATGCATTTTTTTTTCAGAAAAGGAAAAATTTTATTAATTGAAATTCAAAAATTACAAGAATCAAAAAACCAGAAATTGTTTTAAGATAAAAAAACACAGTAACTGATTTAATCAAAAAAAAAAGAAAAAGACTATTACAATGACAAAACAGTAATTTTCTGTCCAACTATGTTCAAGTCCCCAAGGTCCAGCTTCTGTCCACTTGCTACAACTCAATACCTGAACCTTTGGATCTTTTCCAAACTTCTTTTAAAATACTGCAGCACAGCAATGCAGCAAAAACAACACAGCAATATTGTTCAGCACATTCCCAAAAATGCTTAACACCACAAGAGCTGGCTTTAATCCTTCAAAAAGAATTAAGCTAATTAACTTCCAACCATAGACCAACAGCATCCTGTTGCAGAAGCAAAATCCCCAATACAAATCAGCTCCATGCTTTAAGTCTGCCATCACCAGGCTCCAAGTTCCATCACAAACAACACAACATGTAGAAACAAACCAAAACTCTGGTTATTGCCCATACATTCACTCCAGCCATCACTGCACTTCGACCCACACCAGCAGCATCATCATCCAACCCCATGCCTTTGCTCACAAACAAGCACCCTCTTCAATCTAGCAATAGGCATCATGCCCTGGTCCTACTGCAAAAGTAATCTACCAGCAAGTGGGAGCATTTCGCTTTCAAAAAATTCAAAACACCTTCTAGATTGCATTGCATAAGAAGCCAAAAAATCTACAACTATATTAGCCTCCCTATATACATGTCTCAACTGGAAATGCAAACCCCCAAGAATTATTCATATTTGTACATTCTACAGAGAACTACCCCAAACAGCTATGAGAACTTCAGTCCAAAATATCAGCCCAAATCCACATACACCAAAAGACTGTTCATGCTAAGCATTTGCAAACAGGATTTCCACTGTCAAAACCTCTATCCAGCTGCTGAATCCACAGAAATAATTGCCATTTAATGTGGCGTGCACCAATTTCTTCACATTAAATAATTGGTTATAGTTTCAACCATTGGATCTTTTCAGAAATTTAATTGCATTCACTAATCTAACTATCTAATTTGGTTTAAGTTTCAATAACCATTTTGCTAAGTGCAACACTATTATTTTTCTCGATAGAATGATGGATTTGGTTTAATAAAGAGAGGAGATTAAAATTGCTCTCTAGTTAATTTGACTATACTCCAAGTCATGTCTAGAGCTTTCATGGGTCAAGCTGGTCTGTGGCAGATCAATGACTTAGTAAATCTAGTTCCATCTCTAACCCACTCAAAAATAAGCTCAGCCCAATTCAAGCCTAAGCAATCGTAACATAAAAATAACACGAAGCTCATTAAAAAATAAAAAAGTGAATATACCAAGAGTGTGTAACCCTTAAGTGCTCAGACAAACCCACGTTGCTCATTTGGTGATTTTTTTTTAATTGAACAGATTATGTAATTTCACATCTCAATTTTTAAGCAAAGCCTGTTCCAAATAAAAAAAAATAAAATAAAAAATACATGTAAAGCATGGGAGTTGTTGTCAAATTTGACACAAAGAAACCGTGGCTTCTTCAGAGTCATTCAAGAAATGAAGCCAAACACAAATCATGGCACAAAGCAAGGGTCTGTAATGTACATAATCACAGATCTATATAGATAAAAAATACAGATAAAAAAAATACAATTAAAGCACAAAATCGTACAGATCCATGTAGATAAAAAAATACAGATAAAAAAAAAGATTAGAACCTATGATGTACAAATCTATGTAGATATATGCATATATGTACGGATCTATGTACATATATACATGTACGTATCCAAGTAAAGGGGTTACACATCTTCTTCGTCTTTGGTCTGTGAGTCATCTTCGTGTGAGCCTTCTTTCGTCTTTGTCGATCTATGAGTGAAAAAGAGAGAGAGAGTTGCTGAGAGAGTTTCGGAGGATAGAGACGAGGAGAGAGAGTTGTTGCTTACCTTCACAGAAGAGAGAGTGGCTAAGACAAGAGAGGGTTGCAAAGGGACTGATCTGTGCGAAGAAGAAGAGTGACTGAGACAAAAGATCTCATATTTATATTCTCTCATATTAAGTGAGATTTTGTGGCTAAGAGGACACGAAGGTAAGACCTCATTTAAATAAAAAAATGCGTGTTTTCTGTTTCGTGTATTTCTTGGAATAAAAATTTTTGTTTCAATTTTTTGTA